AATTAACAAATGGAGACGTAACAATATGCATATTTATATCTTGTAAGTTGTATCACAGTACAGGTGAGCAACTGTAATTCAGGACGTTGATCCCAAATAACATTTTAAAAGCTTGCGTGTGGTGCCGTTCACTAGTATTATTAACGTAAACTTGCCATTATTTTATTATCAACTCAAGCAAGGACAAGGGTGAAGAACACACACTCACGTTAATAAGTTATTTAACAATTAGTTGAACACAATAAGAAAAATGGCGTTGGCAGAACGACCAGAATTTGATGTCATTATTGTTGGTGGTGGGATTTCAGGTTTGAGTGCAGCAAGAGAATTATTAAAAAGAGACAAAGATTTGAAGGTTTTAGTTTTAGAAGCGAAAGGTTAGTAATACTAATAGTATTCCTGTACAACTACGAAGCCTACTCGTAGTAGACAACAAGTTTTTTGATCTGATTTAATTAATTATGTACCTACAAAGTACAATGTAGCAATAATACTAGGAATAGTATAATGGAAAACAGCTTTAAAAATTACAATTATTATTATTGTGCACTGTGTATACTAAAAAAAATAATAGTGTGGGGTGTCAAATAAAAGTAATATTAATGTAAATTGTAATTTAGGGTCTGTGACACCTGGAAAACTAAAAATGGTGGTGATATTATCCAGCACTAATATTAATAATGGTGGCTGGAAATAAAGTCACAGGAAAAAAGTTAAAAATTTTTTAATACTCAAACACAGTAATGCAACAACAAAACTTTGTTTAAAGTTATTTATTTATTGCAATTATAGCATAATGCATGATATGTAACATTATATGAAAGTACATGACATACATATATTAATAATACAATGTACATGATATCATGCCATTACATGTATATTCAGTGATATTGTCTCCATTTTAGATTTATTGTTAACTTCAAATACAGAAATGATTGAGAGGGGGGGGGATTGGGGAACATCTGGGTGCAAGTGATCATTGGTCTATTAAGTTTGATGTTTTGCTGTGTATGGAGATAAGGAATAATGATATTTTGGTTACAACTTTAAAAAAAGCAAATTTTGAAGGGTGCGACAAGAATTATATATTGTGAATTGGGCAGCTGAGTTATTTGGAGACACTGGTCAGATGTGGAAAATGTTTAAGGATAAATTATTAAATATTCCAGGTAAACATGTTGCTAATAATAAGAAAAGTGTGGCTGCAAGTAAAAAAACCAGGTTGGATCACAAAGAGTATTAAGAGATAAAAATTAAAGAAAAGCATAATAAATTTAAATTAACTGGTATGACAGGAGATTTAGAAGATTGTAAAAGATCAAGAAAGTTGATGAAACAGGAAATTAGGACATCAAAAAGGATGTATGAGAAAACGTTGCTTGAAAATATAAAAAATTAACAGTAAGGATTTCTTTAAACACATTAAGAGTAAACAAAATGCTGGGATGGGGGTAGGACACTGAAGGGATGAAAAAGGAAAGTTAATATCTGATGATTATGAGATGGCTGGGTTATTAAATTGTACTTTTTCTTCAGCTTTTACTAATGAAGATTTAAGCAGTATACTTCATCTTGAACAGTTGATAGATGGAAAAAAGATCGAACAAGATGACTGCATTAATTCTGAGCTTGTTAAGAAAAAATTGGGAAGTTTAAAAAAAATAATAAGGCTCCTGGGCCAGATAATGTTTCCACAAGGGTTTTGAAGGAGGTTAAAGATTGGATATGTAAGCCACTTGCTCCTATTTTTTGTCAGTCCTTGAATAGTGGGTAGGTGCCAGAAGATTGGAGGTTAGCTAATGTAACTCCTCTTTTCAAGGGAGGTGATAAAAAATTGTCCCAATAATTATAGACCCTTTAGTCTTACATCAGTTGTGGGAAAAGTTTTAGAAAGTCAGTTAAATAATGCTTTGTAAAGTCATTTAACAAAATTCAGAATTTTATTGAATAGTCAACATGGTTTTACTAAGGGAAAATCTTACCTTACAAATCTTTTAACATTCTTTGAAAAGTTTACTGCTTATGTAGATGTGGGTAAGGGTGTAGATTAGGTGTAACTGGATTTACAGAAAGCATTTGACAAGTTGCCACATAAAAGGCTTTTAAAAAATTATTTCTATAGGTGTGGGGGATAAGTTGGCAAAGAGGAGTGGCTAGATGGAAGAAAACAGAGGGTTGTTACAAATGGAATTCAGTCAAACTGAATTAATGTCACAAGTGGAGTATCTTGGGGCTCAGTCTTAGGACTTTTGCTATTTTTGATTTAAATCAATGACATAGATGAAGGGATGGTCAATAAATTACTTAAATTTGCAGATGATATTAAGGTCTTGGGTGTTGCTAGCTGTGAAGAGTATGCTGCTGAATTACAAAAGGATTTAGAACAGTAGTCGGCAACCTTTTATGATTGCGGGTCAATTATTTTTTTTTTAAATTTAGCATTGTGTTGGGTCAGTGATAATCATATAATTATTA